GTGACACCCTGGGGTAGTGGATTGTCAATCTGAATTGAAATTGTTCTGTGGAAACAGTGAGTTTCCTTTTTAGAGCTATCCAAATTCAAAGACAAAACTGGTTTTATTTTGTAATGCAACATCAGATCGTCATGAAACTGGCTAAGTGACACCCTGGAGTAGTGAACTATTAATCTGAATTGAAATTGTTCTGTGGAAACAGGGAGTTTCCTTAAATATATTAATTCATTAATTGACAGAGAAACTGGCTCAATAAATGAATGCCAGAGATCGCTTTTCCTTCGATCGGAGTTTTACACGCTATTACCGTAATGCATGGTATATGCGCGCACCACAAAACAACGTGGCGGCTAGAATGACCGTGTTTTTCAAAGTGGAGGCTGGCTTGACCGCAGTCTTTAATGTGACCCACTGAGTGACAATCACAGCAAAATACAAAAACTCTATACAATTTAAACCTGAAGCACTAAAAACAAAACTTTAATGTTTTGTATTGCTTGGCGGACACAGTAACGAATTAAACGGTAAATGTAATGACTGCAGAGTTATAAAAACAAACAGGTGAAATACATTTCGTCCTCTGAAGTGCATACTTGACATACCAACCGACATTTTAGCTCACCGGCTACCGTTAGCACCTCCTATCTACGCCTAGAGACAGCTCTAATACCTTACTAAACCAGGTAAATCAATGAGAATGTAATCGTTTCTAAAGGGACCGGGTTCTTACCGCTATCCGGATCGGTGTACATCTGGTGGCAGTCCCGTAAGATGCGCTCGTCGCAGGACACACTGCTAGATATTGAGTCGGCATTTGCAGCACTCCTGCTTTTGATTTTCCCGGACATCGTGATGCGAAATTACCGGCTTTAATAAAGTAGCTTGTATTTTATCACTTACAAAGTAAAATCCACCGGTAAAATAGTTTGAAAAGAATTAAATGAAATAGAAAATTACTTGCATCCAAAATGCAGTTCAAATCGCCCCGGTCTGCTGGGTAACGCTGGCCACGTCACCGATGTGCGCAAAGAGTTGTGGGAGTTGTAGTCTTTATCCGTTTCACTCGAGGTGGTTCTGATAATTAGGTCAGAGAAGCTGCCTCTTGTTTCCGCCTAGTTTATTTATAAACCACGTTGTCTGTAGAGTATTATATAACCATTCAACATTTCGGAGTTGTGTCCTTTGAACTAGTGAAAAGCACCGTTAATTCATTTGAGAATTTTTTCTCGCTCTTTAAGATAGTTTGCAGTTTGATATTCAGATTTCATTTGGCTATAAATACACAGTGCGCTGTCATAGACATGCAAATAATACCGAATATCATTCTCCATGATTTGTGAATTCAGGTGACGCTGTCCTTCGGGCCGAAATCAGGGTTTTTTTTTTTTTCGTAGCGACTCTTAATTTTATAATGCCTATAGCTCCAAGTTGGACGCTTAGAGGAATGAAACCGGTGTCATCTTCACCAGCTTGATCTGTGAATATTTTCACAGCAAAGCTCTTGTCCGTAAACCCCTTAAGTCCGCTAGTAAGGAATGTGAAAGAAAGGCGTTCTTCATGTTTATTACCAATAAACACGCAGACTGCTGGAATACAAAAACATTGATTTAGGTCGAGCTCGATTTGTGAAAACTTTCACAATCGCATTTTATCGCGTGGCAGTGTTTATCTTTGCTCTGCCCCCCGTTTTTTGTAGCCTATAATAATGTCATTCGGTGCTGTTCCTGTGAATAACGGTTATATATATATAAAAGAAAGCATCTCATGACGTTCTTGGAGAAGCTGCAAGCGGTGACAGAAAGTTAAAGCAAAGGCTGAATGCTTCAGTCCCAGCCATTATCCTTAATCATGTGAGATAATTCAATAATAAACTTCCCCTCCTTATACTTCTGACTTAACTCAAATGCCTGCTCCTGTAGAAGAAAGGAGAAAGAGGGGGGAAAAATTGCAATCAGACTGCAGGGTAATGATACAAATAAAGCCATTTTGGCAAAAAATGTGTCCTACTACATTTCTTATTAAAACGAAGCATGCTTACATATTTCCAGCCCAGTGTGGTGTGGCAATTCTCGCAGTAAATATCAGCCACAGCATGAAGACCGGTCAGCAGCAGCCTTTCTTCTGCTGGGCCACAACCCACATTCACCCTGAAATCACAAAATGACAGTTAAACCAACTATTTCTTACATCACAATGTGATTCAATCTCTGAGATTTTTTTCCAGCAGTGATACTCACACAGAATTGAACAGGTGTGAAAACTTTCACAATCGCATTTTATCGCATGGCCGTGTTTCTCTTTGTTCTGCCCCCTGTTTTTTGTATAATATTGTCATACGGTGCTGTTCCAGTGAATAACGGTTTCCAATTCAATAGGTAAATGAGCTTATACACATATACACTTGTACACTTTGTTTGACAATAAAGTTTTGGTTGCTGTACCTTTCCTTGAGTACTTGGCAGAAAGGAGAAAGAGGGGGGAAAAATTGCAATCAGACTGCAGGGTAATGATACAAATAAAGCCATTTTGGCAAAAAATGTGTCCTACTACATTTCTTATTAAAACGAAGCATGCTTACATATTTCCAGCCCAGTGTGGTGTGGCAATTCTCTTTGGTTGCTGTACCTTTCCTTGAGTACTTGGCTTCATTATTCTGATTTGCGAAAGTTTCACAGTATAGCTTTTGCCAGTTAACCCTTTCTTGATTCCTTAACTATTCTGATATGAAAAATTTCCCAGTGCAGTGTTGGTCAGTTAACCCTTCCCTGATTCATTTACATCACTATTCTTATTTGTGAAAACTTTCACAGTTCACCCTGAAATCACAAAATGACAGTTAAACCAACTATTTCTTACATCACAATGTGATTCAATCTCTGAGATTTTTTTCCAGCAGTGATACTCACACAGAATTGAACAGGTAGGCACGTCCTTGACTGCCTTGAAATGACTGAAAATAGACAAGACACGTGAGTCTTTAATGCAAACAGCCTCACAATTCACAAATCTAGCTGTAAATGTGCCACAAAAGTCAGACAAAGGAACTCTCTCACCTTAGAAATTAGGTCATCATGGTTGGCCAGGTGTGCACGGCAGTGGACGCAGCTGTAGCGGCGGTGACAGGAGTCCAGATAGGCCTGGAAAGTTTTGGCCTTGGTCTGCTTCACCATGTCTTTGAAGAACACACAATCAAAAACGTTGTCAGATCATATCTGCAAGGATAACAAATTTTGCTGTCGCTTCTCACGTCTAAATATGACCATGAAAACTTGAGGGAAAGGCTACAAAGAAGCTTTGACAGCCAAAACAGCTTCTAGCGGGGTTGCCAAATGCGTAGTTAGAAAGCATGGCATTGACATCATCAGCTATTAATGTTGAGATTTTCAAAGCAAACTAAATGCTTTGAGATTTTATGCATGCTGGACGTGACATTTATGGCAATCTTTTCCTTTGTGCATTTGAAAAGCATTTTCACATCGCTGCAAATATTGTATCCTGTTTCAGAGATATAGCAGGAAAAAAGGAAACATCCACATGACCTACTTTGCTTGGCTGCCCACACTGTAGTTACCCCATATATGGCATGCCAGGCACGAGGGTAAACAGGGGTGAGAGGTAATGAATAACTATGGCATGCTGTAATAAATACAGCTTTAGATATAATACAGGGTTATAAAATACTTTAATAGTTACAACATTTTCACAGGCACGCTCACGATTCTAGTTTCAGTTCATATGGACTACATCGTTACAGCACGGCCCACAATGCAGATGGAAAATCGTGAAAGAATCGTTCATATGAGTCGGGTGCGTTCAAAGATTCGGTTGAACCGGTTTACAAAACAGATTCGTAATGAGCCGAGAACGTTGATAGTAAAAATCATTTGGAGTAACGAGGATTTGACTGATGGGGCAAAAATTAAATACATAATTAGCAGAATAACACAAAATGTTACAAATAAAATTTAGTGGAAAATAATTTACTTCACTATATGTTGATTTTATAAAAAGTACTTTGAGCCAAACGTTGGCCAATATATGTAAATTAATTTTAGTATTATTTAAAAGGTAAAATTAAATTATTCTTAGGTTTTAGCCCTTAATGTCGATCATGGATCAAATCGATCCACCATGTCCCTGATTCATTTACATCACTATTCTTATTTGTGAAAACTTTCACAGTTCACTACAGGTCAGCAGACCAAAACTGAACGCAAAAGTCTTTGTATAACGAATCGAGCTTCAGAATGTAAGAAGAAGCAGCCTTTTGATAAAGCGTTAGACAGGCACCTGTAAAAAGGAGCGTCGTTCACATGAGGCATTAGACTGGCCTCCTGACATTCTGTTGTCATTAATTCCCCACTTTAATCATGAATTTGACCTCATTGTTTAGGCTGGTAGCGCATCCTGATGGCCGTATTGAGCTTGTCAGGATGCCCTAGTCAGATTCTAGGCCGTTGTGAACAACTAGTTTGCTGCTGGAGCTAGTTTTAGTCCGGCCAGTAGGGGGTGCTCATTCCCTGACTTGTATGGGTGCAAAAGTATTGAGCTTGTCAGGATGCACTACCCCTCTATTAAGGTGCCGACAACGAATGTAGCTGCTGCTTGCAGTAGGCAGAGTCTGGTCCCTCTAAGCGTCCAACTTTTGGAGCTATAGGCATTATAAAATTAAGAGTCGCTACGAAAAAAAAACACTGTAGTTACCCCATATATGGCATGCCAGGCACGAGGGTAAACAGGGGTGAGAGGTAATGAATAACTATGGCATGCTGTAATAAATACAGCTTTAGATATAATACAGGGTTATAAAATACTTTAATAGTTACAACATTTTCACAGGCACGCTCACGATTCTAGTTTCAGTTCATATGGACTACATCGTTACAGCACGGCCCACAATGCAGATGGAAAATCGTGAAAGAATCGTTCATATGAGTCGGGTGCGTTCAAAGATTCGGTTGAACCGGTTTACAAAACAGATTCGTAATGAGCCGAGAACGTTGATAGTAAAAATCATTTGGAGTAACGAGGATTTTACTGATGGGGCAAAAATTAAATACATAATTAGCAGAACACAAAATGTAAATACTTTAATAGTTACAACATTTTCACAGGCACGCTCACGATTCTAGTTTCAGTTCATATGGACTACATCGTTACAGCACGGCCCACAATGCAGATGGAAAATCGTGAAAGAATCGTTCATATGAGTCGGGTGCGTTCAAAGATTCGGTTGAACCGGTTTACAAAACAGATTCGTAATGAGCCGAGAACGTTGATAGTAAAAATCATTTGGAGTAACGAGGATTTGACTGATGGGGCAAAAATTAAATACATAATTAGCAGAATAACACAAAATGTTACAAATAAAATTTAGTGGAAAATAATTTACTTCACTATATGTTGATTTTATAAAAAGTACTTTGAGCCAAACGTTGGCCAATATATGTAAATTAATTTTAGTATTATTTAAAAGGTAAAATTAAATTATTCTTAGGTTTTAGCCCTTAATGTCGATCATGGATCAAATCGATCCACCATGGCAAACAGCGAATATATCTGTGCTGTTTAATGCATTTGAGACGTTGTGTTTTCCTCAGTGCATAACTGACACGTCACAGGTATATTTTTCATCTGTAAATGTTAGAAAGTCATGCAAACATATCCATTTTGTTGTCAGGAGTGGGCGAGGCTTACGTGAGTGAACGAGCTCTATAGGCATTATAAAATTAAGAGTCGCTACGAAAAAAAAAAACCTGATTTCGGCCCGAATGACAGCGTCACCTGAATTCACAAATCATGGAGAATGATATTAGGTATTATTTGCATGTCTATGACAGCGCACTGCGTATTTATAGTCAAAAGAAATCTGAATATCAAACCGCAAACTATCTTTACTGCGGTGCTCTACAATCCATTATACTAATCCTTGCTCGTGTGTGTAATAAAATGCGTCAATATACGCGTAAAATACGAGTAAGAAGTTTAATTAAATACCAAGTCCATCATATTTAAGATCACTGTGCATTGAAAATGTTCATATATTTTCCATGTTCATTCTTGTACAATTGGTCAGTGTACATTGTATTGTAATGTACACTGTACTTTTGTTTATATTGTATCATTTTAACATTGAAGAATATTGAATAGAATAGTGTACTTTAACATTGAAGTACACTGCTTCCTAACCAATTTTCAGTGAAAAAAGCAAACAAAACAAAAAACAGTTTTAATTTACCCTATACTTTAATGTAAAGAATTCAGGTTAATGTAACACACTTTAATGGTTTAGCATTCAAAGAAATACTCTGCTACACAATCATAAACACATTTACTTGTCTGCTCTAACATGATCAGATCAATGTCTCTGTACATGCTGCTCAATGTTAGACTATACTTAATACATTTCTCATAGACAAAAAACAAGAAACAAGACAAACAGAGAAAAATTAGTATCCCAATTACATCTTATAAGCTGTAATTGAAGTGTCTTAAGAATATCAGTCAACTGTGGACATCTCCACAGCAACAAGCCTGTTGCTCGCTCGCTCACATGCACACACACGAGCAGATGTTCATCTGTTGGGATTCCTCAGTGACTTGGTAAAGTAAAAGATGAATTCAACCAAAATGACTGAATTTGGAGGTATGAATCATCCTTTATGCAAACTTTCTCACATACACACATATTGCACATGATCCACTCTAAGCCGCACACACACACAAAAACAACATACAGTAAAGTAATTTCACTCGCACTACCTCGTTCACAAATACCTCGCTCTTTAAAGTAAAAATGAATTGAATAAAAAGACATTGGATCTTGGCATTTTGATCATACTATATCTGTGACACATGTAGAATTTTAATCCTACATATAAGTGTATTTTTATGACAGCAGTAACTGTAAATCAAATGTTAGCTAGCTAATACAGCCCTAATTACTAGCTCAAATTAGTTAATGTGCATTCCTCTTATCATGTAAAATATAGTCTGTTTTTATATTATATAAATACAGTCGGTTGTAGCCTATATTTTTATTTATTTGATTTAAGTTGCATTTTCTGTATACTTTTTTTCTTTTCTTTTTTTGGACAAATTGTATGCGAGAGAGTCAGCGCCGTAATATCAATGCGTTCCTATTGGTCAGTGTTAGAGGAGCGCAGCTTAGCCTGACTGA